GTTTTTATAGCTGAGTAGTATTCCATTGTGTAGATATACCACATTTTCCGTATCCACTCATCCGATGATGGACATTTGGGCTGATTCCAGCTCTTGGCTATTGTGAAGAGTGCTGCAATGAACATTGGGAAACAAGTATACCTTCGACTTGATGATCGTTATTGACTTTCTAATAGCAGATTTTAATTGAAGCCCTTATTGGAGTGCTTTCAATTTCAATGTACTTCTGAATCACCTGGGGTTTCTGATACAGTAATCAGATTAGGACCTGAGATTCAGCATTTCCATCAAGCTCCCAGGTGGTAACATGCCGCTGGTCTGGGGACCACACTTTGAAGTGCAAGGCTTTAAGATAAATAAGTACAGCGTTAATAAGAATGATCTTTTGTATGGAATCTGAGAAACCATGCAATAAATTCTTATGTGGTACCATGCAACTGTATGAATACATGGAAACTTCTAGAAATACTGTTTATTTTAGGCATGAACTGAGTCTAGTCTTTCTGTAGCCTTGTTAAAAGATTACCAGCATTTTCCAGGGCCTTGGGAACTGAGCAATTTCTTGTTGACATATGTGTGAGAAGCCCGTAGTAAGTTTGGGAAGGTCTGGAAGGTTGTTGGGGCACAAGGTATGGACTTGACTTTGGAGTAAATACACCAGTGAAAGTTCTGGCTGTTAACTATGTGCTTCCCATTACAGACTCAGTCGGGGAATATTCAGAGCACAGTGATGCTAGACAAACAGAAGGAGCTTGACAGCAAAGTCAGAAATGTGAAGGACAAAGTTATGGTGAGTACTGAGTAAATACATACATTTATTCTGTAGCTTTTTATAGGGGAAAAAAGATTTCACTCACTCTCCGAATATAAACCTAGTAACTGAGTTCAGTCTTGTAAGTAGTTGAGAAGAAAAATTTTGCTGAAGTTGCAAACTATAAGTAAACAAATTGGTAAAACCATGATCAAATAGACTTTTTTATGGCCTCCCTTATGCCTTCCAAACGTTGAGCTTATCTTATTCTTCCTTACAAGATCAGGCAGTAAATGTTGACTTTGCCGCATCACCCAGTAAACCAGGTGTTGCTGCTCTAAATAGCCCTTTATGTCCATGCCTCCCAAGTCAGGCTGTTCCTGGGGTTGCACACAGCCCCAGGATAAGTAACCTTGGCCCATCTTCCTCAAGCACCTGCTTTATTCTAAGACTTGGAAGAAATGAAAAACATTTTATTGACAGAAATTCTGATTCATTTCTGATTAGAATAAGACATCCCCATCAATTTTAAGATAAAACTTCAAAGACAGTTTATGGAAGCAAGGGGTCCACTTTGGCACCCTTGTTGGCATGTATTTACTCCTCTCCACTATTAGGGCTTTTGAGGGGAAAGATTAAGGAGGTTTTCTTCACAGGAGGCCTGGGTTTGTGGAAAAGCCCTTCCAGCCAAGGGGGATGGTCCTGCTGTGGGTCTCTGGGTAACACCAGCCTGGTCTTGACTTACGTGCTTCAGACAGCATCTTTCCAAACTTCAGATTCTTTGGAGCAACTTTATCATGAAGTCTCTAGGAAAACACTGCATTAAAGTAGAAGCCGAGTGGGGCCAGTCCAGAAATAGCCATAGAAATCCAGAGAAGAATATATAAAAGTGTGACCAAATCAAAGACAAATGAAGCTTATTTGCATGGTGAATATACATACAGCTTATTGCCAGATTGAGATGTGCTTGAATAAATAAGAGGGCACTATTAATGGTTACACCAGGACAGCAGGTGTTAAACCAGGACTATCCCAGTTAAACAGGGGTGTATGGTCACCCTTCTTATTTGTAAGAAATGAGATTTTCCATGAGCTTGTTTCTTCCTGCTGTGTGCTTCACAGTGAAGTTATCATATCTCAGAGGTAGTCTCAAAAATGTTGAGGAAGAAACAAAATTTAGGCCCTGGAACCAGGTAATGACATGCAAATCAGTTTGAGAATTGTGGTATGTTTTCTTTTTTTAAAAAAAATGTTATATACTTATTAATTAAATAGAAATTATTTCGTGTATATGATTAGGATTTTGCAAGTTAATCCATCTTTGAGGGGGGTGGAATTGTTTCCATGTTTTTCTGGGTTCTATAGAAGCAATAATCTGTTTCCTGAAGTCTTTGGAAGCTGATGATCAATGAAAAACATGTTTACATCTTTATTTGTAGTGTATAGAGCATGAAATCAAGAGCCTAGAAGATTTGCAAGATGAGTATGACTTTAAATGCAAAACCTTGAACAACAGAGGTAAGAATTAACAAAGCAGTGCCTAGTGGCTATAATTTTTTTATTTGCGCTAGGTAACGAAGACGATTACTCCTTTATATTTGCCAAGTATTTTGTGACTCTTAATTGCTAGTCTTGGGTTCTTGATGACTCAAGCCAGGGTTTCTTAACCTCAGTACTATTGACATGTTGGGCCAGATAATTCTTTGTTTTGGGGCTGTCCTGTGCATTGTAGGATGTTTCACAGCTTCCCTCAACAGTAACACTGCCTGGTAGCCCCCAGCGTTGACAACCAAAACTGTCTCCAGACATTGCCCAGTGTCCCCTGGGGGAGGCACAGTCACCCCCATTGGTAGCCACTGGTTATGTTATTCGCCCTGTCTGCTGTGCCTCTCTCCCTGCCTCACTCAGATTGATAGATAAGTACAGTTCCCTGACGTAATACCTAATATTCCTTCCATGTGTATACACTACAGATTTATGTTTTAAAGCAGTTTCATTCTATTTTGTTGTTTTGCTTGTATTTAATGATGGGAGCAACTGAAAATAACCCAAAAGTGTGCACCGTATAGAATATGTAGGGTACTCCCGTTTCCCAGTAATCAATTGGTGGATCTCATGGTTAATAGGGAAAGATTATTAGTAATCTAAAAGATTATTAGTATAATTTGGGTAAAATGTATGAGAGAAAAGGAACCTCAACCACTACTTCCTAATCGTCTACTTCTCTTTCAGGGCTATAGACACGCTTTGTACACACTTTTTATCTGAGGTTTTGAGTTTTGTCATTTTTATCCATTTAGGTAATATTCTGACAGTGACTTAAGTAGCAGACAGAACTGTTTCCAATTTACATGAAAACAAGTACTTTATTTTAATGTGTCCATTTTTATACTTAGGACATTTCTTGTTGTTTTGTTCAGTAAAGATCAAAGAAAACCATGCTTTATGTTTGTATCATATTTCTCCTAAATTTATGTCAATCTTGGCTTTAATTGGTTTTTGTATTATACATTTGTATTTATCTGCTGTCTCTCCCAATTCACAGACCACGAAACCAGTGTTGTGGCAAAGAATGATCAGAAACAGGAACAGCTGTTACTCCAGAAGATGTATTTAATGCTTGACAATAAGAGAAAGGTAGTGATTTACTGTGTAGAATAGCATGTTGCTTTTGTCAGACTTAAATAATGGACTTGAAGTTTAGAATAGAGGAAAAAATATTTTTATAACCACTTGGCTTAAAGCTCAAGTTGAGAAAGAAAGGATACTTGCTTTGCTTTAAAAAAAAAATCTTTTAAAATTCAGCTATTAAAAGTGAACTTATTTCACTTTGTTTCTTCCTATCCCTTAGGAAGTAGTTCACAAAATAGTAGAGTTATTGAATGTCACTGAACTTACCCAGAATGCCCTGATTAATGATGAACTAGTGGAGTGGAAGCGGAGACAGCAGAGTGCCTGTATTGGGGGACCGCCCAATGCTTGCCTGGATCAACTGCAGAACTGGTAAGGTTCTCCAAAGTGGAAAACTGGCAGCTGACTGGCTCACCACAGAACTCATAAAGTTCAAGCTGTGTTAGTTGAATGGACCTTGTCAAAACTTTGGCTTAGAGTTTGACGTAATCTAGCATCTGCTTACTCTGGAAACACTCACTTGGAAAGAGCAGTGTTATTCATGACTGTTGCCACATTCAGTCACATCTGCTTGGTTTGGAGTCCTCCTGTACCAGGGGATGTGGCATTTGACTGTACCAAAGCATCATTGACATGTTTGTAACAGAGCACATTTAACAACCTGAGTCCTACTGTTTTATTAAAACAAAATAGCTTGAGGCATTTTCTAGGCTTACATGAAATACTAGTTTGTCATGGGCCATTCATTCATGCTAACTGTGTGCCAGGCACAGTGCTAGGACCCAGGCCCACAACAATGAATGACTCTTGGTCCTTGCCAGTTAGGTGTTCTGAGTGCAGAGGGGACGTAGACATGGTAATAAATCTGTGCAGTAGAAAGTTCCAGGTGCCCTGGTAAAAGTCCATCAGAGTTCCATGGAGGGCAAAGGAAAGTCACCAGGAAAGGTTTCATAGAGCAAGTGGCCTTGTGCTGACTCTTGAGCATGAATAGGGGTACTTCATATAGACCAGAGAGGAGAAGTTCTTCCCAGCTGAGAGAACAGCATGTCCAAAGTCACAGAGGAGAGGGCCCACAGGGACTGTGCACCAGCTGGCTGGAGAGATGGTGCCTGGAGAGACAGCCAGGAAGTGGAACTGGCAAGAGGTGCTGGAACCTGGTGACAGAGGTTCTCAGCACCACTGGGAGCAGGGACTTCCTCCAGCAGGTGCTAGCGAGTGAAGACAGGCTTGTTTCTTAAGCAGGGGGTATACTTCTCAGGTTTTTGATTTAGCAAGGTCACTGGCAGAATCTAGAGGATGGAACAGAGACAGAAAAGCCAACTGGGATGCTATTAGCATATTAGTATAGTCTAGGTGAGGGCTGACCAGAGCTGAAGTTGGGTTCGAGCAGAGGGCATAGGAGGGGTGAGATCAGAAAATGAATATGAGGGAATGGTGGCCTGGAACGGTGGCCTGGAGCGATTGCCAACGGCCCGGGGACCAGAGATCTCATAAGGTTATTTTCTTCATCGCTAATTTTTTAAAAATTCACAAATATTCAGCCATTTGTGTCTGTTCCGTAAATCGCCTGCACATACCCCAGATTTCTGTGGGTTAGAACAGAGCTTTCCAGGCCAGCGTGCCCCCATGTACCTTGAGAAATACTGACCCCCTATGCCTCCCAAGTGGCCAAGGAGGCCCCCAGGTGCCTGGAACCCCCTCGTGGACACCTTAGGCCACAGGAGCCTCTTCTAGTGACACAGATACCCTCCAGTTTTCCCCACTGTGATGTGTAGCGAGTGTCGTTTTCTCTGTGTGCCAGGACCCAGGCAGAATTGGGAAGCACTGGGCTAGAATCTCCTCGGGAATTCGCTGGCCACCATTATCCTGCCTTCTCATCTCGTGATGAAGGGCTGCCCTCTCAGTGCTTTGAACTGGATTCAAAGAGTGACACCATGAAGTGACATAGAAGACATTTTAAAAAATTTTCTTCTGTCTTTACTCAGGCTCATAAATGGCACTTCCACAGCATGACTTGGCTCAGAGCCCATGTCCCCGTTAGCAATCGATGTGAGGAAGGAAGAACCTGAAAGCAATTGCTAGGTCTCCTCACTGGCTTTATGGCTTTAGAGTCTAGACTGAGGCTCTCGCTTTCCCCTTACTGTTGAGTGAGACAGTGATCTTTGTTCCTTCCTCTCCACCCCCCAGGCCTCTCTCCCCAGGCCTTGCCTCCCCTCTCTGCATCACTCCTCCCGCTGCCCTCTGCACAGCGTCACTGACTGGTCTCACTACTTGCTTCCATCACTGTCTTGGCATAAAGCCTGCAGCATCTCCTCGCTGCCTCTTGCGTCATCTGAAGGCAGCTGCCTTGCTGTTTCCCCTGCCCCTGTCCTCCTCTGTGCGCTGCCCCCCTAGAAATTCCAGTTACCTTAAAGATCAGTTCAAGTCGCAGATCACCAGGAAGCCCTGCCCCCACCTGTCTCTCCTTGTGTGGATCTTAGTAGTGTGCAGAGGTTTTTGAACCAGGCTGTAATCGTTCAGTGCATGTTAATTTTTTCTCCCCAAATGACCAAGCTCCTTAACACTGGCATGAACCTCGTTCCGTGTTTC